AACATTTACATTTTAGTCATTTAGCAGACGCTCTTATCCAGAGCGACTTACAGTAAGTGAGTGCATACATTTTTCATACTGGCCCCCCGTGGGAATCGAACCCACAACCCTGGCGTTGCAAGCGCCATGCTCTACCAACTGAGCTACAGGAGGCCTGTAACAGCAGTTCATTAATAAGTCAATACACACTAAATCTTATGCAGAAATTGAGAAATCTTACCTTATCTTGGTACTGTGGCACGGTATGGGAAGCTATTAATCAATTAATTCATAGATAATAGATTCATAGATGGAGTTAGAAGGGTGACCTCCTACTTTGAAAGGACAGGAAGTGTTGGCTGTGCACTTGACCAGGCATTCCACATTTAACCCCACCCACATTTGAACATCGAAATATGAAGTTGTTTTTTGGTTTTATATGCAAAAATGGAAGAGAAAAAAAAAACAATCCATTTTTACATTTCATAAATAGCCCGTTTTTATGATCCCGATTGCTCAGTTTTAACTAGGAAAACAAACGATCATAACGTACATGGACCGTAGTCTTACCTCAGGTATCTTGATTTAATGTTGTCTGTGAAGTAGGCTAATTATCTTGACTGCCATAACAACATAGACACCAAAATGTTCTGTCAATCATCGAGATCAACATTAATTCCTGCACTTTAGCTGTTGTTAAATCACACAAGCTCTTTATCACTTGACTGTCATTTAGAAAATCCTTGAATCAGCTGAATCAGCTGATGTTGCTCGATAATGTCCACACATAACTAAACAGCTAGACATCAAACGCGCATCAAACAACTATTATGCTAAATTATTGAAGAACCTGTTAATGACAGTATCGATTTTTGTTTTATTTATCATATTAAAGTTACTCTTTCTGTTTGAAGCATTGGATTTTGCAATCACATATATTATTTTGGAGATGTGTGCCCATGAAAACTGTTTTCACACCCGTAACATAGGGAGATACGAAATGTTACAAGGTTACAGTACACTTCCGAGATCTCCATACAAAAAAAGAGTCTGACAGCAATATCCAGGAATTTCACAGGATCAAGGTCAATGTGTAATTCAATTGTTAAATACTTAGTATATGATACAACGACAAACAACAGTAGCTCAGTTGGTAGAGCATGGCGCTTGCAACGCCAGGGTTGTGGGTTCGTTTCCCACGGAGGGCCAATATGAAAATGTATGCACTCACTAACTGTAAGTCGCTCTGGATAAGAGCGTCTGCTAAATGACTAAAATGTTAAATGTAATAATTGAAAGGAAAGAAAGGTGTGTTTAATGTCACACGATTTTTGCCAAATCTGTGAAGACTCCAAGCAGGAAAAAGGGTTTAAACTACGGCTGACCCCATTTAGTCGACTGGTCGATTGTTTGGTCGATAGGCTGTTGGTCGACTGAGATTTCTTTAGACAAGCAGTAGCAATTAAAAATATATATTTATCATGTTGTACAAGACTAATCCATTGTGGAGGCCATGGGGATGGCACAGTCCATCACTCTAAGACATGTGCTACTGAAATTGTATATGATTAGATTACATAAGAACAATGGTGCGACACTAATAATATTTACAGTTGAAGTCGGAAGTTTACATACACCTTGCCAAATACATATTACTCTCAGTTTTCACAATTCCTGATATTTAATCCTAGTAAAAATTCCCTGTTTTAGGTCAGTTAGGATCACCACTTTATTTTAAGAATGTGAAATGTCAGAATAATTGTAGAGAATGATTTATTTCAGCTTTTATTTCTTTCATCACATTCCCAGTGGGTCAGAAGTTTACATACACTCAATTAGTATTTGGTAGTATTGCCTTTAAAATTGTTTAACTTGGGTCAAACGTTTCAGGTAGCCTTCCACAAGTTTCCCACAATAAGTTGGGTGAATTTTGGCCCATTCCTCCAGACAGAGCTGGTGTAACTGACTCAGGTTTGTAGGCCTCCTTGCTCGCGCACACTTTTTCAGTTCTGCCCACACATTTTCTATAGGATTGAGGTCAGGGCTTTGTGATGGCCACTCCAATACCTTGACTTTGTTGTCCTTAAGCCATTTTGCCACAACTTTGGAAGTATGCTTGGGGTCATTGTCATTGTCCATTTGGAAGACCCATTTGCAACCAAGCTTTAACTTCCTGACTGATGTCTTGAGATGTTGCTTCAATATATCCACATAATTTTCCTTCCTCATGATGCCATCTATTTTGTGAAGTGCACCAGTCCCTCCTGCAGCAAAGCACCACCACAGCATGATGCTGCCATCCTGTGCTTTACAGATGGGATGGTGTTCTTCGGCTTGCAAGCGACCCCCTTTTTCCTCCAAACATAACTATGGTCATTATGGACAAACAGTTCTATTTTTGTTTCATCAGACCAGAGGACATTTCTCCAAAAAGTACGATGTTTGTCCCCATGTGCAGTTGCAAACCGTAGTCTGGCTTTTTTATGGCGGTTTTGGAGCAGTGGCTTCTTCCTTGCTGAGCGCCCTTTCAGGTCATTAAAACTAATTTTTCAACCACTCCACAAATTTCTTGTTAACAAACTATCGTTTTGGCAAGTCGGTTAGGACATCTACTTTGTGCATGACACAAGTAATTTTTCCAACAATTGTTTACAGACAGATTATTTCACTTATAATTCACTTTATCACAATTCCAGTGGGTCAGAAGTTTACATACACTAAGTTGACGTGTCGCTTGGCATTCAGGCCAAAGAGTTCAATCTTGGTTTCATCAGACCAGAGAATCTTGTTTCTCATGGTCTGAGAGTCTTTAGGTGCCTTTTTTGGAAAACTCAAAGTGGGCTGCCATGTGCCTTTTACTGAGGAGTGGCTTCCGTCTGGCCACTCTACCATAAACGTCTGATTGGTGGAGTGCTGCAGAGATGGTTGTCCTTCTATAGGTTTCTCCCATCTCCACAGATGAACTCTGGAGCTCTGTCAGAGTGACCATCGGGTTCTTGGTCACCTCCCTGACCAAGGCCCTCCTCCCCCGATTGTTCAGTTTGGCCGGGCAGCCAGGTCTAGGAGGAGTCTTGGTGGTTCCAAACTTCTTCCATTTAAGAATGATGGAGGCCACTGTGTTCTTGGGGACCTTCAATGCTGCAGAATCTTTTGGTACCCTTCCTCAGATCTGTGCCTCGACATAATCCTGTCTCAGAGCGCTACGGACAATTCCTTCGATCTCATGGCTTGGGTTTTGCTCTGACATGCACTGTCAACTGTGGGACCTTATAGAGACAGGTGTGTGCCTTTCAAATCATGTCCAATCAATTGAATTTACCACAGGTGGACTCCAATCAAGTTGTAGAAACATCTCAAGGATGATAAATGGAAACAGGATGCACCTGAGCTCAATTTCGAGTCTCATAGCAAAGGGTCTGAACACTTATGTAAATAAGGTATCTGTTTGTTTTTTAGTTTTTTACAAATTTGCAAAAATGTCTAAAAACCTGTTTTTGCTTTGTCATTATGGGCTATTGTGTGTAGATTGATGAGGGAAATATTGTATTTAATACATTTTAGAATAAGGCTGTAACGTAACAAAATGTGGAAAAAGTCAAGGGGTCTGAATACTTTCCGAATGCACTGTATCTGAGAGAGCCATGTGAGTGAGAGGTGCTTCAGAGCACTGCGATTGGCAGCCGGGAGAAGGGAATTACAATTATTATATTCAGCCCAAGGGCACAACAGCCACTGGCCGCAAAAGGCATGGATTTATTTAGGGGGCATTACGGCCACACAAGAGGGATGCCGCTGGGAAATTAGAGGCATTATCCAATGCTTGTCAAATTGTGAATAAGAGACTGACAAAGTGTGTGCAGCCTGCGCAAGAAACAAAACAGAGCTTGTGCATTTCATGCAGCTTTTTTCAAATCATCATTAGAATCGCATCATGCAGCCTTAAAATGTATTAAAAATCTAAACATATAGCACAACGTTTGTATCACAACTAAAGTTGCATAAATAACTCTAAATTAAGCATATAGGAGGACCAGTTTCTTTGTTAACCGCTCAACACAGAATAGCCCTCCCTCAGAAATCGTTTGGAGAAAATATCCTTTCTATTTTATTCAGCTATGTTCAATTGTATTCTTTATACTATAAAATAATATAAAATCATGCCATGGAATTCTAAGCAAATCTTGTCTGCTAAATGAACTAGTGTAGCACACAACCATATGGCATAGGCAGATCTGTGCCTAACATAAGGACAAGAGTATGCTATTCTGTTCTTCTGAAATAGACTACATTTTGCTCATATCATGTTTCTTAAGACCTGTCTAAAATATATAATGGATTTATTGTGATGGAGTAGGCTATATTAAATGGATTTATTAGACTAAAATGTAGATGTTCCAAAGGTCTGCTTGTAGGCTATGCTAAATGTGTTTATGTTAACTAACGGTCAATTACCGTGAGACCGGCAGTTATTTGCTTGACAATCACCGGCTGACAAAATTTCATGACCGCCACAGCATTAGTAACGACCCCCTTAAAGATCAGTTCAGTTGAATTTCGTTCATACTGTATGTCCCGTTCAACAGTCATTTATCAATGAAAGCAAATTAATACACATCCCACTGGTTGAGGAGCTGGACCACGCATGAGAAAGTAATTCCTTTCCACAACAACGACACACCCTTAGCAGTGACTTATTGGTGAGATGCACAACACAAGGGCAATGTTTCAATCCCCATTGGGATCTTACGCTAATAACAAGGACAATATTTACCCCGTCAAAGATCCCAATAAAGATCCATATTATTTACATTTTATTTTTTATTTTTTTATAATCCTAACATGTTCAAACTTCATGATTATTTAAACTGTCTAACACTATCATAACACCAGGTTGTAATACATAAGGTTGTAATACTATTTTGTTTATGTTTTATGGTCCTTTCAGTCTTTATAAAAATGTATAAACAATCTATTGTCCAATGTTTGTTTAATCATGATTGTGGCTTTAACATAGCTCTACATTACCTCTGTGTGAACTTTAGGTATGGCGTGTAGTCGATGACAGCAGAGGATTTTCCATCCAGGGCCTCCCCCTTTAGACAGAAACTGTGGAGAGAAAGTCATAACCCAATCACACATGGACCTATGGAGAGCAACCTTGTCATATGACTATGTCCATCACAGAATAATATGGCCCTCTTGAGTTCCTCTCCGGGTTTCTCTCTGCCATTGTTGCTGTAACTTCCTCAAACTTTCTTAAGGCCTTATTTTTTAAAAGCATTTTGTGACTAATGCATTTTTTAAAAGCACTATAAAAACAATTGATTTCTCTGATTTCAGCAAGCGTGTTCTCCCAGCCTCACCTGAAGTCTATGGCTCCGAGTCCAATAAGCATCCCTGTTAGGACCGTGGCCTCTTCCCTTAGCATGATGGCCCCCTCACCATAGAACCTCCTGTAGCACACACACACACAAAGGTAGGATTGTCAGGAACCCTAGGTGTTTGTTGGGATTGTTAGTTGTCATTAGGGTTGTGGCGGTAATGAAATTTCACGGTAATTTACCGTTAATTAACAAAAGTTTAGCATCTCCAGGTCTCCACGGAGTCCATGCATACAAGCTGCATACAAGCCACTGATGCACGCCTTTCGAACATCTACATTTTAAAAAGTCTAATAAATCAATTTAATATACACCATCACAATAAATCCCTTATTTTAGTTAGATCTAAAGAAACATTATGATATGAAGAAAGAACAGAATATGAGTTGGCCTACTGTATGTTATCTGGCTATGCTCAATGCCATAGGCTGTAGGCTTGTTAATGTAGCTGACAAGATATGCTTATAATTCCCGTGCCATTATTTTATATTATACGATTTTATAGTAAGAAGAATATAATTTAACTTATCTGAATAAAATAAAAATGATATTTTTCCCATTCTAGAGTGAGTGCGCATATGAAGTGGCTATGTTGAGTGTAAAAGTGATCATTTGAAACAGGTCCTGTACGCTAGATTTAGAGTTATTTGGCAACTTTAGTTGTGAATGATACAAACCTTAGAAAGTCTTATAAATCAAAACATATATGGGCTGCATGATGCGACTATAGGCTATAGATTATTTGAGAAAGTCGCAAAAAAAGCTTGCGCTCTGTTTCTTGCCTCAGGCTGCACAGCTGTTCTCACATCAATTGATCATATTTTCACCCATCAGACTATTCTCAATTGAATCTTGTCTTTACTAATATGTCAAATTAGTTTCGATTTAGAATGGCCCATTATCAAATGGGCAGGAACAGAGGCAGGGGAAAAAAGACATCCTTATGCACTCCAATAGCGAATGGAGGCACACGCTTTCCCGCCAGTCTGTTTTTCAATGATGCCGGCTAGGCTACTTCGGTTTTATAGCGGAGCTGTGCTTAATATGAGCAACTGAGAAATAAATATAAGAACACTTATTTCACTCCACGCATCAACCACTGTTTGAGGAGCATAATCTCGCTGCGGACAGGTGATATTCCGCCCAAACTCTGTATGCCATGGGCTCTCCAACCCTGTTCCTGCAGCTACCCAGTGCTTAATTTGGGAAACCAAGTGAAATCTGTTCGGGAACATCGATAGTAACATGCTTCCGCAACTAAACATATTTCACTAAACTGTTGACCGCCTCTCTGCGTGCTCGAGAAGGTAATAAAGGAGAGAGAGGAGGAGATGGAAACGCATGGTGGTGAGATATTCTGTATAGCTAAAGGTAATGTGTCACCCAATTAATTATGAAAATATACAAAATTCCCTATTACTAGGCTATTCAAAATAAAATACAAATTCACTATAATTGTAGGCTAACTGTAAGCCGCCCTGCACAATCAATGAACTAAAGGCATCGCCTAGGGCTATACTTTCTCAGAGACTCGTGGATAGACATTTTGGAGTGTAGCATAAGGTAACCAGTCCCCCCAGTATGCATAATAATACAGTCCACACTCAAAGGCGATTACTCAAATTGGTTTAATTTTGGAGTATAGGCTAGACCAATTATGTACCAAAGACATCTTAAATCAGTTTTGTTTTACGTTTTTCTGCCATGCGTAATCAAATGAAATCTAATTGTATTTGTCACATGCGCCGAATACAACAGGTGTAGACCTTACAGTGAAATGCTTACTTACAAGCCCTTAACCAACAATGCAGTTTTAAGAAAGAATACCAAAAACAAAATCACAAAAAAATACAATACGAAATAAAAGTAACAAATAATTAAAGAGCAGCAGTAAAAATAACAATAGCAAGGCTATATACAGGCGGTACCGGTACCGAGTCAATGTGCGGGGGCACCAGTTAGTCGAGGTAATTGAGGTAGGATATGTATTGTATAACAGAACAAGCATCATTTTAATTCAGGGTTTTCTTTTCGGCTTGGGCTCATAAGCCTATGTGTATGCATAAGCTCTAATATGCATTTAGGTGTTTTGAATTAATCAACACCTTAGAAAGCACTGTCCATTTTGTTGTGTTAGGCTTTGAAACAACATCGACAACGGCCATGTTTTAAACTCAGTTTAAACCTGCTGTTGAACTTCTTTCTTTATATTGATCATCACAGTGAGGTGAGTTTTAAAAGCGTGATACTGTTTTGATGATAAGTGTTTGATGTGATTTTTGATTGCATTTATGTCAGAGTGGTTAGAGGGAAAATAAAGCCCTGATTAACAGGCCATTACGACCTGATGGTCATTAGCAAATTGGGTACTACCAAAGCATGTCCATGTCACGCCCTGACTCAGGGGACGTTGATTTGTTGAGTCAGGGTGTGTATTTTTCGTGTTATGTTGTGTTTTTCTATGTTTTGTTCTAGATCGTTTAGATCTATGTTGGCCAGGGTGGTTCCCAATCAGAGGCAGCTGTAGCTCGTTGTCTCTGATTGGGGATAATACTTAGGCAGCCTGTTTGGCACCAGTCTGTGTGGGATCTTGTATGTTATTAGTCTACCTTGGACTTCACGTATCGTTTGTTTGTTGTTTTGTTCAGTACGTTAATAAATATGTACGCTTATCACGCTGCGCCTTGGTCCGTCTCATCCGTAAACGATCGTGACAGTCCAGAGTGCGTAAAAGGAGATTACCGTGACTCAACAGTCACATGGAATTTTACTGCGGTCATGACTAGGGCTGTTGCGGTGACCGTATTACCGCCTCACAGGCGGTCACGAGTCATGAAGGCAGTCAAATTCCACGTGACCGTTTAGTCACGGTAATTAGGCTTCTCTCCAAGCTCTAATGCTGCTGATCGCCATTAGTAGCCTACCAAACTTGCTAACTGCCTGGTACTTAGCACTCTATTGTCCCTCTAATCACTCTGACATCAATGCAAATGTAATCGAAAATCTAATCAAACACTTCATGAGAGCCCATGAGCTCATGTGCGCAACATTTCTATAGGCTATGCAATTGCGTGAGAAAACAGAGTGATGGCCTCTATTAAAAAGAGGAGGATCCCATCAGCTTTCTATAGGCTAGGCCTACTATATTTATTTCTCAACTTTCCTAATATTAAGCACATTGCTTATCTTTACAACAGGAGTATAGCCTACCTGGCTGGCATGAAAATTAACCACGGGAAAAGCGTCCTCCATTCGCTATTTAAGTGCATAAATGACATTTATTTTTTCCCCTGCCCATGTTTTGAGACAGGTGCATGATAAGGGCACAACGGCCTCCAGCCACCCTAGTCATAGACTGTTCTCTCTGCTACCGCACGGCAAGCGGTACCGGAGTGCCAAGTCTAGGTCCAAAAGACTTCTCAACAGCTTCTACCCCCAAGCCATAAGACTCCTGAACAGCTAATCATGGCTACCCGGACTATTTGCACTGCCCCCCCACCCCATCCTTTTTACGCTGCTGCTACTCTGTTAAGTATTTATGCATAGTCACTTTAACTCTACCCACATGTACATATTACCTCAACTACCTCAACTAGCCGGTGCCCCCGCACATTGACTCTGCAACGGTACCCCCCTGTATATATAGCCTCCCTACTGTCACTTTATTTTACTTCTGCTCTTTTTTTCTCAACACTTTTTTTGTTGTTGTTTTATTCTTACTTTTTTTGTTTAAAATAAATGCACTGTTGGTTAAGGGCTGTAAGTAAGCATTTCACTGTAATGTCTGCACCTGTTGTTGAGTTTTAAAAGCGTGATACTGTTTTGATGATAAGTGTTTGATGTGATTTTTGATTGCATTTATGTCAGAGTGGTTAGAGGGAAAATAAAGCCCTGATTAACAGGCCATTACGACCTGATGGTCATTAGCAAATTGGGTACTACCAAAGCATGTCCATGTCACGCCCTGACTCAGGGGACGTTGATTTGTTGAGTCAGGGTGTTTATTTTTCGTGTTATGTTGTGTTTTTCTATGTTTTGTTCTAGATCGTTTAGATCTATGTTGGCCAGGGTGGTTCCCAATCAGAGGCAGCTGTAGCTCGTTGTCTCTGATTGGGGATAATACTTAGGCAGCCTGTTTGGCACCAGTCTGTGTGGGATCTTGTATGTTATTAGTCTACCTTGGACTTCACGTATCGTTTGTTTGTTGTTTTGTTCAGTACGTTAATAAATATGTACGCTTATCACGCTGCGCCTTGGTCCGTCTCATCCGTAAACGATCGTGACAGTCCAGAGTGCGTAAAAGGAGATTACCGTGACTCAACAGTCACATGGAATTTTACTGCGGTCATGACTAGGGCTGTTGCGGTGACCGTATTACCGCCTCACAGGCGGTCACGAGTCATGAAGGCAGTCAAATTCCACGTGACCGTTTAGTCACGGTAATTAGGCTTCTCTCCAAGCTCTAATGCTGCTGATCGCCATTAGTAGCCTACCAAACTTGCTAACTGCCTGGTACTTAGCACTCTATTGTCCCTCTAATCACTCTGACATCAATGCAAATGTAATCGAAAATCTAATCAAACACTTCATGAGAGCCCATGAGCTCATGTGCGCAACATTTCTATAGGCTATGCAATTGCGTGAGAAAACAGAGTGATGGCCTCTATTAAAAAGAGGAGGATCCCATCAGCTTTCTATAGGCTAGGCCTACTATATTTATTTCTCAACTTTCCTAATATTAAGCACATTGCTTATCTTTACAACAGGAGTATAGCCTACCTGGCTGGCATGAAAATTAACCACGGGAAAAGCGTCCTCCATTCGCTATTTAAGTGCATAAATGACATTTATTTTTTCCCCTGCCCATGTTTTGAGACAGGTGCATGATAAGGGCACAACGGCCTCCAGCCACCCTAGTCATAGACTGTTCTCTCTGCTACCGCACGGCAAGCGGTACCGGAGTGCCAAGTCTAGGTCCAAAAGACTTCTCAACAGCTTCTACCCCCAAGCCATAAGACTCCTGAACAGCTAATCATGGCTACCCGGACTATTTGCACTGCCCCCCCACCCCATCCTTTTTACGCTGCTGCTACTCTGTTAAGTATTTATGCATAGTCACTTTAACTCTACCCACATGTACATATTACCTCAACTACCTCAACTAGCCGGTGCCCCCGCACATTGACTCTGCAACGGTACCCCCCTGTATATATAGCCTCCCTACTGTCACTTTATTTTACTTCTGCTCTTTTTTTCTCAACACTTTTTTTGTTGTTGTTTTATTCTTACTTTTTTTGTTTAAAATAAATGCACTGTTGGTTAAGGGCTGTAAGTAAGCATTTCACTGTAATGTCTGCACCTGTTGTATTCGGCGCATGTGACCAATAACATTTGATTTGATTTGATTTGATTTGGTCCATTCTAAATCAAAACAAATTTCACACATATATTATTTAGTATATGTAAAGACAAGATTAAATCAAGAATAGTCTGATGGGTGACAATATTAGCCTATCACTTGTGAATAATATATTATCACTTGTGAATGATGCCCAGCGTAAGGCAAGAAACAATGCCTTTTTTTTGCGACTTTTTCGAATCATAGTCACACACATCATGTAGCCTAGCCCATAGGCCTATATGTTTTGATAAGGTTTGTATCACAACTAAAGTGGTCAAATAACTTCTTAATATTAAGCACATTAATCCGCTTTACAAGGGGTGTAGAGCCTAACTGGCATACATAAGCAGCGCGTGAGTTTCAATACACCTTGATAATAAAAGCAATACATCCATAATCGTATTTGCAGTCACTTTTGATAATGGCGTTTTGCCTACTGCCGTGTGCGTATTGCTGTGCTTATAATGTGAAGAAATAGCCTAATAGTTTATCAACATTTTAAGCTAAACGTTCTGATCGGTTGCGTCAGCCACATTGCGTAAAAAAAGTTTTTTGATGCTAGTGGTTGTATTCATTTGGGATCTATCACATCACACAACTGTCCCAGGCTATGTTTGGAATATTTATTTCTCGCACAGAATAGGTCAACTTTTGTACTATGGAGGATAGTAATTTGACATAGGCTAGTGCTTTTGCTGTTCGTTAGGCCTACTCATCTTGTTGGCTGACGAAATGTAAATGTGGACAGTTCTTCCAATATCTTCAATATGCACCTCGGAATTGGATAAGACGCGCGCAGTTGCATCCTCGATGTGTCTGTCTTCACTTGTAGCCTGTGAGAAAGACCCGATCACGTGATGGAGAGCTATGTGAGTGAGAGGCGCTTCAGATCACGCAGCACTCAGGGAGAAAGGCACAAAGCAGCACTCCGGGCAAAGGGCACAACGGCCACTGGCCGCAAAAGACATGGATTTTTTTAGGGTGCATTACGGCCACACAAAGGGGATGCCACCGGGAAATTCAAGGCATTATCAAGTGCTTGTCAAATTGTGAATGATAGACTGATGAAGTGTGTACAGCCTGCGCAAAAAACAAAGCAGAGCTCATGCCTTTCAAGCAACTTTTTTCAAATCATCATTAGAGTCGTATCATGCAGCCTTACAATGTATTAAAAATCAAAACATATAGCCCAACGTTTGTAGAACAACTAAAGTTACATTAATAACTCTAAATTAAGTATGTAGGAGTACCTATTTCTTTGTTAACCGCTCAACACAGAATAGCCGCATGTGTGCACTCCCTCAAATCGTTTGGAGAAATGTTTTATTCAGCTATGTTCAATTGTATTCTTCATACTATAAAATAATATAAAAAAATGCCATGGAATTCTAAGCAAATCTTGTCTGCTAAATGAACTAGTTAAGCCCACAGCCATTTGTCATAGCCAGATCAGGACCTAACATAAGGACAACTCAGAGTATGCTATTCTCTTCTTCTGAAATAGACTACAGTTTCTTCATATCATGTTTCTTTAGACCTGTCAACAAAAAAAGAAGGATTTATTGTGAAGGTGTAGGCTATATTACATGGATTTATTATACTTTTTTAAATGTAGATGTTCCAAAGGTCTGCATCAGTGGCTTATAGGCTACGTGTGGAAGCCAGGAGATGCTAAATGTGTTTATGTTAATTAACGGTCAATTACCGTGAGACCGACAGTTATTTGCTTGACAATCACCGGCTGATGAAATTTGTGTCATGACTCATGACTGCTGGTGTGTAATACAGTCACCGCAACAGCCGCAGTTGTCATGCTATGCACCCAGTTTGTGTGCCTGCATTAGTTGTTGTTGCACACTGTATGGTTGTGGCTTAGTTCAGGTATGGTTGTATTGTGGTCTTTGGTGAACATTGTATAGTCATAGTGGCTGTCAATAGTTGCTCATGATCATGTGATGAGGTAGCCCCGCCTGCGAACTTCAAAACCAGTGTCTGCCCTCAGACCAAGATGGAATATCCTCTTGGTCTAACGGTCTAAGACGTTGGTTGCTCCCGTGGGTCACGTCTTAGACCGTTAGTCCAAGAGGAAATTCCCTCTTGGTCAGAGGGCAGACACTGGTTTTGACATTCGCAGGTGGGGCTATCTCATCACGTGACCATGAGCAACCATGTCCGCTACAATAGCATGGTTGAGGCATGGTTGCATTGTAGTCAGAGCATACTTCTGACCTGGTTGTCCGACTGTCCCTCAGAGCAGTGGCTATGTATTCAGAGAGTCTCTTCTCCATCAGGGCTACTCGAACCCAGGCTCGACCCTGCAGAAGACAGACAGACAGACAGCCAGACACTATTAATCACATTTACTTATTAGTTTATTTGTCAGGGACCATGTACAACATGCCATTGCACCAGATTTAGCTAGATAGCTAAATTTAATCTGTAGTCCCTGCCAAATGCCAGTGAGACAAACATAGTGCTACTAGGCTTTAAGTAAGTAAGTAAGTAAGTAAATAAGTAAAGAAGTAAGTAAGAAGTAAGTCAGTCAGTTAGTCAGTGATTCAGTCAGTCTAAGTAAGTAAGGATGCCGATCTCTTGCCTTGGCCCGCGAGGTGCTGATATTCTCCATGTTCTCGATGCTGCTGATGCAGCTGTTATGGACCTTCCCGCAGGCCAGCCTGATGAAGTCCCAGTAGCTGCGCTGTCCATCAAACCAGCTGCCCGACCCTGACCCCGCCCAAAGAAAGGGTAGAGACTGGTCACTCTCAAAACACTGCTTTTTGGAATGTATCCCTCCTCTGATTGTGATACTTAAAATTTCTCTGTCTTTGTGTACTGCAACTATTAAAATTGATTTGATAATATGTCAATGATAATATGCTAGTTTTACCTTTGAAGCCGTGGCTGAGGATGTGCTCGAGGACAGCTGCGAAGTTGATGAACTCCTCTGATGAGTCATCGATGGGCTCGGCGGTGTACTTCTCCAACAGTGTCTTTACTGAAAACCTATCAGGAAGAGAGAGACGGTTAGGTCACTACTAACTGATGGTTTTTCCACCAATCAACACAAAGTTTGTTTCATGTGAATGTCGAGGGTGGTAACAGACCAACAATTACAAACTATACTTGAAGCAGCTTGTCATAATACCTTCATCAGACTAAAATATCATTACAAATTCAGAAAGCTCTCAAAAGAAGAGTCAATCAGCTTTTACCGGGCAGCTCAAATTTACAACACTGCATGAATAAGACACTTCTAGGAAATTACTCAGTGAGGAGACAACAGCACATGCTCCAACACAAGTAATAACAGTATAATTTGTAAGTTCAATGTGACAAAGACCAGATCTGCCTATTGTAGGCCTACATGTTCCTCTACATCAAGGGGGGGGCAAAGTATGGCACTTCAATCCGGCCCGCGAGACATTTTTTAAATGTATAAAATATTATTATATTTGAGTTACGATTTTTGGCCTAAAATGACTCATTCCATAATATACAAACAACCTCCAATAGATGGCGCTGTAGCCTGGCAGCACGCTCTATATTTGGGCCTACAGACAGATTCAGAATGCGCTCAGTCATCATAGCCACTTCATTGCTTGACGACTTTAGACGTGAAAAATGAGTGCTGTGAAAATTTGAAAAGTGGACTCTGAATGTCGTGTTTAAAGAAGAATGGACAGCAAAATACTTTTTTACTAATATTGGACATAAGGCCAAAATATGCCAAGAAAGTGTTTGTCGTTTTTAAGGAATATAATCTCAATCGTCATTTTTCAAGCAAGCATGCTACTACGCTAGCAATCTGTCCTCTCAGGAAAAGGCAAGGAAGGCCTCAACTTAACACAAACTTAAAAGCCCAACAAAATACGTTTACTAAACGGTGCTCTACTCAAGACTCCGTAACTAAGGCAAGCTACGTAGTGGCACATAAAATCGCAAAGCATAGCAAGCCTTTTGCTGAAGGGAGTTTGTGAAAGAGTGTAGGGTGGAGACTGCTGGTATACTTTGTCCTGAGAGTAAAAGCCAATTCGAGAAAATTAGCTTATCACGCAGAACCATCACCAGGCGAGTGGAAGTGATAGGTGAGGAGCTAATCTCTGAGTTGAAGAAAAAAGCAGATGGCTTCGATATTTTTTCTATAGCACTGGATGAGAGTACTGACATCAGAGACACCACTCAACTTTAATTTTTGTCAGAGGAATAAATGAGAACTTTGAAATAACAGAAGAACTTCTTGCGATGGAATCAATGATGGGAACAACCAGGGGCTCTGACTTATATGACAGGTTGTCTGCCTGCTTGGAAAAAATTAATCTACCGTGGAGCAAACTGACAAACGTCACAACAGATGGATCACCAAATCTAACCGGTAAAAACATTGGCCTACTAAAAAGATTACAAGGCAAAGTAAAAGAAGAAAGCCCTAACTCAGAGGAATTAATATTTATTCACTGTATTATTAATCAGGAAGCCCTGTGTAAAAGTGTGTTAAAGCTGGAAAATGTTGTCAAAGTGGTGTAAAACTTGTCAACTTCATACAGGCAAGGGGGCTTAACCATCGTCAGTTCATTCAGCTGCTCAATGACACAGAGGCAGAGCACCAGGACTTGTTGTACCATTCAAATGTGCGCTGGCTAAGCCTGGGAAAAGTATTTTGCAGTGTGTGGGAACTGATAGATGAGATACAGTGGGGAAAAAAAATATTTAGTCAGCCACCAATTGTGCAAGTTCTCCCACTTAAAAAGATGAGAGAGGCCTGTAATTTTCATCATAGGTACACGTCAACTATGACAGACAAATTGAGATTTTTTTTCTCCAGAAAATCACATTGTAGGATTTTTAATGAATTTATTTGCAAATTATGGTGGAAAATAAGTATTTGGTCACCTACAAACAAGCAAGATTTCTGGCTCTCACAGACCTGTAACTTCTTCTTTAAGAGGCTCCTCTGTCCTCCACTCGTTACCTGTATTAATGGCACCTGTTTGAACTTGTTATCAGTATAAAAGATACCTGTCCACAACCTCAAACAGTCACACTCCAAACTCCACTATGGCCAAGACCAAAGAGCTGTCAAAGGACACCAGAAACAAAATTGTAGACCTTCACCAGGCTGGGAAGACTGAATCTGCAATAGGTAAGCAGCTTGGTTTGAAGAAATCAACTGTGGGAGCAATTATTAGGAAATCGAAGACATACAAGACCACTGATAATCTCCCTCGATCTGGGGCTCCACGCAAGATCTCACCCCGTGGGGTCAAAATGATCACAAGAACGGTGAGCAAAAATCCCAGAACCACACGGGGGGACCTAGTGAATGACCTGCAGAGAGCTGGGACCAAAGTAACAAAGCCTACCATCAGTAACACACTACGCCGCCAGGGACTCAAATCCTGCAGTGCCAGATGTGTCCCCCTGCTTAAGCCAGTACATGTCCAGGCCCGTCTGAAGTTTGCTAGAATGCATTTGGATGATCCAGAAGAGGATTGGGAGAATGTCAAATGGTCAGATGAAACCAAAATAGAACGTTTTGGTAAAAACTCAACTCGTCGTGTTTGGAGGACAAAGAATGCTGAGTTGTATCCAAAGAACACCATACCTACTGTGAAGCAAGGGGGTGGAAACATCATGCTTTGGGGCTGTTTTTCTGCAAAGGGACCAGGACGACTGATCCGTGTAAAGGAAAGAATGAATGGGGCCATGTATCGTGAGATTTTGAGTGAAAACCTCCTTCCATCAGCAAGGGCATTGAAGATGAAACGTGGCTGGGTCTTTCAGCATGACAATGATCCCAAACACACCGCCCGGGCAACGAAGGAGTGGCTTCGTAAGAAGCATTTCAAGGTCCTGGAGTGGCCTAGCCAGTCTCCAGATCTCAACCCCATATAAAATCTTTGGAGGGAGTTGAAAGTCTGTGTTGCCCAGCGACAGCCCCAAAACATCACTGCTCTAGAGGAGATCTGCATGGAGGAATGGGCCAAAATACCAGCAACAGTGTGTGAAAACCTTGTGAAGACTTACAGAAAATGTTTGACCTGTGTCATTGCCAACAAAGGGTATATAACAAAGTATTGAGAAACTTTTGTTATTGACCAAATACTTATTTTCCACCATAATTTGCAAATAAATTCATTAAAAATCCTACAATGTGATTTTCTGGAGTTTTTTTTCTCATTTTGTCTGTCATAGTTGACGTGTACCTATGATGAAAATTACAGGCCTCTCACATCTTTTTAAAAGTGGGAGAACTTGCACAATTGGTGGCTGACTAAATACTGTTTTTCCCCACTGTAGGTATGTTCCTTGATACTGTTGGTAAAGCTGACGAGTTGAAAGACACAGACTGGCTGGGCAACTTTGCTTTCGGTGTGGACATATTGGGGCATCTGAATGATCTAAATGTGAAACTGCAGGGAAATTGTGTTTTTGTGCATGAACTGTATTCCAACGCATTCAAGGCCGAACTTATGTTGTTCTCCAGACAAATGAGCAGCCGGTCTCTCGCTCATTTTCCGACACTGGCCGCACTGAACGCGCCCACATCGCAGTGCCGCACTGAGACATACTTTGATCGACCTGCATGCTGAGTTTTCTCGCCGCACCTCAGACTTCACCAAGATTGAGACTGAGCTGGAGCTTGTATCATGCCCCCTGTCTTTCGACAGTGAGAAAGAACCACCAGACACACAATTGGAGCTCATCGACATCCAATGTGACAGTGCTTTGAAGGAGAAGTACAAAACAGTAGACCAGTTCTATGGCTCACTGAATGAAACAAAGTTTCCAAACATTAAAAAACACACCCAAAGGATGCTTGTTTCATTCGGGTCCACATACAGTGGGGAGAACAAGTATTTGATACACTGCCGATTTTGCAGGTTTTCCTACTTACAAAGCATGTAGAGGTCTGTAATTTTTATCATAGGTACACTTCAACTGTGAGAGACGGAATCTAAAACAAAAATCCAGAAAATCACATTGTATGATTTTTAAGTAATTCATTTGCTTTTTATTGCATGACATGAAAACAGATCTTTTTCACCACCTGAAAACCCTGCATGTGCGCGAATATGAAGAATCTACCAGAATGCGTGCAACAAACCCCCAGAGCAGCGGAGCAAGTCCGAAGAAATCTTCAAGCCAGACCCGCACTCAGCTATCACTCAAGTCATCATTCGTTAGTGGTACTCCCTGTGACAAGAAGAGCAAGAAGTGGAATGAGATAACAAGTGCAATTATGTATCACATAGCGAAAGACATGGAACCAATTCAAACTGTGGAGAAAGACTGTTTCAGAAAGTTGATTCGAACTCTTGACCCAAGATACCAGATCGCGAGCTGTAAATACTTCAGCAAAACATGTCTGCCAGAACTCTACACAGAATGTCGGGACAGAGTTGCTAACGAAATCCGTAACGCTGCATTCTTCTCTACCACTGCCGACTTATGGTCAAGCCGGACCACAGAGCCATACAGTGGGGAAAACAAGTATTTGATACACTGCCGATTTTGCAGGTTTTCCTACTTACAAAGCATGTAGAGGTCTGTAATGTTTATCATAGGTACACTTCAACTGTGAGAGACACAATCTAAAACAAAAATCCAGAAAATCACATTGTATGATTTTTAAGTAATTAATTTGCATTTTATTACATGACATTAGTATTTGATCACCTACCAACCAGTAAGAATTCCGGCTCTCACAGACCTGTTAGTTTTTCTTTAAGAAGCCCTCCTGTTCTCCACTCATTACCTGTATTAACTGCACCTGTTTGAACTTGTTACCTGTATAAACCCCTACAACTCATCCAGAATGCCACAGCCCGTCTGGTGTTCAACCTTCCCAAGTTCTCTCACGTCACCCCGCTCCTCCGCACACTCCACTGGCTTCCAGTTGAAGCTCGCATCTGCTACAAGACCATGGTGCTTGCCTACGGAGCTGTGAGGGGAACGGCACCTCCGTACCTTCAGGCTCTGATCAGTCCCTACACCCAAACGAGGGCATTGCGTTCATCCACCTCTGGCCTGCTGGCTCCCCTACCTCTGCGGAAGCATAGTTCCCGCTCAGCCCAGTCAAAACTGTTCGCTGCTCTGGCACCCCAATGGTGGAACAAGCTCCCTCACGACGCCAGGATAACGGAGTCACTCACCACCTTCCGGAGACATTTGAAACCCCACCTGGGATAGGATAAAGTAATCCTTCTACCCCCCCCCCCCCCCCCCCCCCCCCCCCCCAA